CAGGGGGTGCCCAAGGTAGGGAGGTGGTCAGTTATGGAGGGTCTACTCTATTTCATATTCTTTTGCATGAGAGATTGATCTTTTCTTGCTCATTTATTTATTCATTCAATCATTTCTTTATATCAGCCTGGGCTTACAGATGTTTATTTTATTGGAGGTGGGGTCTTGTTCTGTAGCTCAGACTGGAGTATAGTGGCACAATCAGAGCTTACTGTAACTTCCAACTCCTGGGCTCAAGCTATCCTCCCACCTCAACATTCCATGTAGCTAGGACTACAGGCATGTGCCTCCATGCTTGGCTAGTTTTCTTTAATTTTTTGTACAAATGAGGTCTTGCTATGTTGCCCATGCTGGTCTTGAGCTTCTGGGCTCAAGCAGTTCTCCTACTTTGGCTTCCCAAAGTGCTGGAATACAGGCACAAGCCACTGCGTCCAGCCAGATATTTATTTAATACTTTGGGTTATAATCCAGTGCTGCTTTATTTATTTCATTGCTCAAATTATGACATTTCGGCCACTGGGAGCTCTTTTAGTTGGTTCCTGTGTCCCTTTGGCTTTCCCCCACTATAGTGCATTTTTCTGTTTGAGGAGTTCCTGACTATCTAGCACTATCAGATGTTCTAGGGTTATCTTGTACATTTCCTCTCCCATTCCTCTCTTCAGATAAATTAACCCTTACTAGTTAGGGCTGGCTCTTTCTCCATCCCTTTTCCCTCCTTCCTGTTCTTTTGGTAACTTATCCTAAAGTTGGTATTGTTGCCATATATCTAATGTATTCACAAACAATATATAATTACTCTGAGATTTAAAAAAATTTACATGACGGACCGTGGCTCATACCCTTCCTCAATTTGTTTCTGTTATTGAATATTATGTTTATGAGATTTTCTCATGCTGTAGATCTAGTTAATTTATCGTATAGTATTCTATTGTGTGAATTTACAACGGTTTACCCATTCCCCCCCAAAGACAAATTAATGCTACATGGACCTCTTTGCACATGTGTGCAGTTTCTCAAGGAAAAACGTTATCAGTAGTGATGGGATCTATTAGGGGAAGTTTTATAATTTGTATAGGGCATTTTTGGTTATCCCAGTGACTGAGAAAGCCTTATTGGCATTAGGAGAGGATGATGACAAAGGATGCCTGATGACCTGTAATGTCTTTGTTTTTTTTTTTTTTTTTTTTGAGACAGAGTCTCGCTTTGTCACCCTCGGTAGAGTACCATGGAGTCACAGCTCATAGCAACCTCCAGCTCTTGGGCTAGGGCGATTCTCTTGCTTCAGCCTCCCAAGTTGCTGGGACTACAGGCGCCCGCCACAATGCCCGACTATTTTTGTTGCAGTTGCCACTGCTGTTTTAGCTGGCTGGGGCCGGGTTTGAACCCATCACCCTACTATATGGGGCCGGCACCCTACCCACTGAGCCACAGGTACCTCCCAGACCTGTAATGTCATTAGATTTTCTATTTAAATAATTTTTGAATATCCCACTGATGTATTCGTGTATGGAAAATGTCTGTTTATAATGATCCGACTCTAAAACCTCCATTTTGCATATAAACTGAAAGTATTCTTGGCATGGTTTTAATATGTGCTGTTGTTTTTAAGAATTCAAACTACCTTGCAGATTGAGAGGATACTGAACTTTGTTCAGAACCAAGAATTGTTCACCATGTTGGAAACTCATGACACAGAGGGCCGTAGCATTCATGGGGACAGAGTCACAAACAGAACACATCTGTATGGGTCTGCATTTGTAGGGTTTGTATTCATGAGGGTGCAAGTATCTGTCTACTTCATTAAGTCTTCTACCAAGTTGTGCATTTTTAATACATTGTATTATTTTAAACAGGGCCAGGACTAAGGCCTCTCAAGTACTCCTGCCCGGGCACAGGTTAAGGAGACATTCTCAGTTTTTCAAGGGCAGGTTCAGCACAAAATTTTTGATAAAATTTTGCACCCTAAGGACCTTGTTAGCCTCATCCTAGTCCTGCTCTGATTACAGATTAGGTTCTGTTTATTTCTTCTGTATTGTAGTTAGGATAGTATTTTAAATTAATTTTTGTTTGTTAGTAGGCAGATTATTAAGTGTGTTGCAGGATGGAAAAGCGTCTTTCAAGTGACTTTTTATAACAGCAGGTGTTGGGTCTGATTGGTTTGAGGGCCACTGCTTTAGGGCACATCCTGGAAGTGTTCTTCATGAGCTTCTTCAGCTTTATTGGGTATTGCCAGGTTGCTTTAAGAAAGATTGTTATCAGTCAGCCATCGCTGTAGTAACGCTATGTTAAAACAGACAAGCTAACGGACTAAATGCTTCAAAACTCAGGGCTTCACAGTAAGTGTTTGTTTTCCCCTGACAATCTGTGTGAGTGGGTTGCAACGAGGCGGAATTTCAGGCTGTGGGCTCCAGACTGGAGGTTGGATTGAGGTTGGGTTCACCTCTGTTCTATATATCTCATGCTCCTGGATTTGCAGCTGTCCAGGGCATGTTTTGTCATGGGAAGTGGCAAAAGCAAAAGAAGGCAAGTGGAAATGTGTAAAACCTCATGTGGAATATGCCTAGAACTGGCTTGTGGTCACTTCTGTCCACATTCCATTGGCTAGAGCAAGTCACACGGCCAGGCCCAACATCTGTGAGGTAGGGAAATAGTCTCTGTTCTATTTAGTGGCAAAGATGTGAATTAGATGCAGGGAGAATGTCAAGAATTATGAGCAATGATTAGCTTACCACATGGTTGTACTATTATATTTTCTGCCAGTAATATATGCAAACTTTTGCTTCTCAACATCTTTGCTAAGTCTTAATGTTACCCAACTTCAGTATTTTTGTTAAATGATATATTATTATTTTAATTTTCATTATCAATTGTATATATCTTTCAAAATACTACATATATTTGTTTTAAAAGATTAATTTTTTCTTCCACTATAAAGTCAGTTCATGAGGATAATGAGGCTTTTTGTGATGGAAATAAAAATTTAGAGTCTCAAATTATGATACTTAAAATTAGTTGCAAGCTTATATACTGACTAATATCTGTTTTTCTTTTGCTTACATGATATCAGATATTCTGGGGAATATTAAAAATGTCTAGACTCTGTTCTTTTTTTTTGAGACAGAGCCTGAATGTTTCTGTAATGTTTCTAAGACTGAAGCTGTCCCCCTGGGTAGAGTGCTATGGTGTCACAGCTCACAGCAACCTCTAACTCCTGGGCTTAAGTGAGTCTCCTGCCTCCACCTCCCAAGTAGCTGGGATCACAGGCGCCCGCCACAACGCCTGGCTTTTTTTTTTTTTTTTGGTTGCAGCCATCATTGTTGTTTGGCGGGCCCAACCTGGATTCAAACTTGCCACCTTAGGTGTATGTGGCTGGTGCCTTAGCCACTTGAGCCACAGGCACCGAGCTGGCTCTGTACTTAAAAGGCCCTTTTATTTATTTTTTTATGTTGAAACTGTAATTTTAATAGATAATTCTTCATCTTACATAGGAGCACAGTAAAATACACCACATTCTGAAGAAACTCCAGAATTATGAGAATAAGAATGAGAAAAGTTCAGATGGGCTATACTATCCATTACCTTAAACTGTAAGAGACAAAGGGTTCCAACCCAAAGGTTAACCCTTATTGATGACTGGCTACACTTATTACTTAAAAATGATAAGAATCAGGAATTAGATCTGGAGAGAGCCAGGAAAGAACAGTTTTGTGAGGGGAGGGATACTGGAAGGATGAAAAGCAAGATCATTAACTGAGGATCTGATTATCTCAAAGGAAGAAACCTTTCTGATAACACTTAGGCAAGTTGGTTGCTTGAGATTTGCTCATCAGGTTTATAAGAAAGACTCACAAATTCCTCAGCAAACCTGAAATGATTTATCAGATTAGTCTTTCCTAGTAACACACACCAGTGGTTACACATGAAATCTTCAGACAAGAACCAAGAAAAAGGTTGTAACTCAAATTGGAGGCAAAAATGTGGCTTTAGGACTTTCGTAAGTCCTAAATGTCAGTCACCACTGCCATCTTTGCTCTGACTATCCTATGTAGTAGTTTTCAAACATTGTGGCAAGACACCAACGATCCTCTAATGAGACAACACAAACACATTTATTTTAAACTTTTAGGAGGTAGACAAGGGTCAGATATTGATGCTTTATGCATGCTCAGGGCCAGTTTATAAATACTCTTGTTCAGTAACATGTTAACACCAATTTGTATCAGTGAAAAGAAACTGGCAAAATCCCCCTCGTACTATTCAATCGGTCAGATGGGGCAGACCAAAACAGAATGTTCCATTAGAGTTTTAATTTTTAAATGCAATTGTCACACTGGGAAAATGAAATAAACCCAGCAAAATAAACTGTACAAAGGCAAAGTAGAATAACAAAAAATATTTTACTAAAACGTAAGATTTACAGAAGTTTTCAGAGAGGCCACCAAAATGGTCACAAGACTTTTTTTTGAAGGAAGGAAAATCTCTACTTGACAGCAGAGTTACAATGTTACTAGTGAGGACTGCGATGTTTGTTTAATGCTCTCATTTTGGTTCAAACAATCAAGCTTGTCCATCTACATTGTCTAAATAAAGTTAAACTTGGCTAGAGAGGATATTCTAAACAACTGGTTAGCTGCAATTATATCGCTACAAAATTACAATAAAACTACCTCCCCCCTCAAAAAAATTAAAATAAAATAAAACACCCACACCCGTGCAGCTAAGCCTGACAAATACCTTCATTCACAGTGCTTTAATTTAAACCATGATGGGGGAAATGAATAAAAGAGAGTGGCCACTGCTTTTAAATGTTTGGCAACACCCAGATGATACTTCTAGCCTCTGCTCATGCTTTACCACAGTGAATCAGGACAAGACATAGATTTGGTTATGTGCATCTAACCACCAAAGGACTGAAGATGTCTGGGTTTCTGTAATGTTTCTAAGACTGTGTCCATTAAATGCAGATGAGAAATGAAGAAGTCTTAGCAGAACAGGAGAAGTGATGCACATGTGATGATGGGATCGATTTGAGTATTATTCATGGCATATGGCCTAGTCCATGCTCCAGCTGTTTCTATGCCTGGGGCTTCCTCGGTCTTCCACTACACCATTCACTAATGGATCATCTCGACTGGGAGTACATAACAAAACCTGGATCCACAGCAGAACTGTGCGGATCTGCAGTGCTAGGGACCATTTATCTTTCAAAGTATCTAAACATATTCTTCCCAACTTGTCTGCATTAGGATGATAAATTTGGTCATGAAATGTACTGTAGGAGCTGCCATTTGGGTATTCTTCTGGAAGGAATAGTTTGAGTTTAAAAGTCCCTCCCTCAAAGGGAGAATCCTGGGGACCAGCAATGACCACACGAAAATAACTAGCGTTGCTCTCATCTGGTTCTGCTTGAATGCCAGGAAATGGTTCTGCTAGCAAACGCTGGGTTTCCTTGATGATCCTGGGGGGCAGCCTGGCCATCTTGTCAGATCCCGAGTTTGACTTCTGATCTCATCCTGAAAGGCCTTTTTATTTTTCACATTTTGATTCTGTGTACAGTATGTATATGATGCATTCATAATTTTCTTTCCATTATTGAGTGGAAAGAAATCTAATTTTCTTGAAGTCCCAAATTTAGATATATGCACTGTGTGCCAAACTAGATTGCATTCCAAAATATTCAAATATGGATTTCACTAAATGGCTTCTTGGTGTGTTTCTCTGGAAGAACACTTTCAGCACTCTTCTGATGTGGAGGCACTTCCTGCTGGAGAGCTACATCCAGGCGAGAGAGAGAGAGAGAGAGAGAGAGAGAGAAGAAGAAGAAGAAGAAGAAGAAGAAGAAGAAGAGGAGGAGGAGGAGGAGGAGGGAGAGAGAGACACTGGTGAGGAGGAAGAAAGGCACCCACAGAGCTTCTTCTCATAATATAATCTCCTTTATGCTGGGACCAGACAGGCCAGTCCCAGAGTGGTGGCATTTTAATGAAGCACGTACCATACCTACAAAAAAAAAAAAATGGTTGAAAAGGAATTCCATTCTTTAGTGTTGTATCTTAAAGGAGACACAGTTCACTCCAGCAACATTTCTAGAGTTCCCTTTTGGCTTCTGCTTCTCACACCTCACCTCCTTCCTTGATTATTTCTCCCCTGGGCTTTTCCCATCACCAGTCTCATCTGCTCAGCTGAGCCTGGCTGAGTCATTCTTGGCTCCTTCTAGCCAGCCTCACTTTCTCTGGTGAAACACGTAGACTTACATAACAGTTTTTTTTTTTTTTTAATTTTTTGAGACAGAGTCTCACTATGTCATCCTCAGTTCAGTGCCTTCGTATCAGAGCTCACAGCCACCTCAAACTCTTGGGCTTAAGTGATTCTCTTGCCTTGGCCTCCCAAGTAGCTGAGACTACAGGTGCCCACCACAATGCCCGGCTATTTTTTTGTTGTAGTTGTCATTGTTGTTTAGCAGGCCTAGGTTTGAACCCGCCAGCCCTGGGGTACATGGTTGGTGGTCTAACCACTAAGCTACGGGTGCTGAGCCTACATAACAGTTTGAAAGAGAGGAATCAATGGTCTGGAAGTTTGGGCCAGTGGATATGGAACAACGTATCTCTCACCACCACCACCACGGTGGTCCCCAGCCCTAGGCTGCAGACTAGTATTGATCCAGAGCCTATTAGGAACCTCACAGCAGGAGCTAAGTGGTGAGTGAGTGAGTGAGGCTTAATCTGTACTTACAGTTCCTCCTCATACCTGAGCTCTGCCTCCTGTCAGATACGGGAAGGGTTCCAGTAGTTCTCAACCTATGGGTTGCGACCCCTTTGTAACATTGAAAATACACCCTGCATATCAGACATTTACATTGCAATTCATAACTGTAGCAAAATTAGTTATGAAGTAGCAACAAAAATAATTTTATGGTTGGGGGTCACCACAACATGAGGAACTGTATTAAAAGGTCGCAGCGTTAGGAGGCAGGAGGGAGGTTGAGAGCCGCTGGGCTACTCTCTTACTTGCAGGTGTGAGTTTCTCTGATGCTCCCGAATTTCCTTTTCCCCAGAGGCACCATTTCCTCAGCAATTGGTGAGACTGTATTCTACTTCTGATACCCAAAATACAGCACCCTGAAAGATAGCAGAGGAGACCAAATATAAAACGGACCCCTAAGTTCCCAGAAAAGGCTACTGACTAGAACTTTGTGTTAAAGGCAGCAGGGAAAATGAAATACTTTGATATATACAGGTGGCCATTTAAATGGCACACGAACTTTACGGCCACCCTGTGTCATGGAGATAATGATGGTTGACAGAGGTAGGTTGCTACAGTGATGAAAGTCCTAGCAGGAAACAGACCATACATTTGAATCAATAATTAGGGAGAATTTAATAAAGGTCTATTTACAAAGGTGTGGGCAGGATAATAATAAAGTACATTTTATTGATAACAAAGAATAACACAATACTCTAGAGCTAGCAGCAGAAGGGAGCAGTTACCATGGGCGTGAAGGGACAAGGGGAAGCAGCACATCCTGGAACCTGGGGAGTAGCCGTGCGGAGGGGGTGGTCTCCAGGGGAGAGACGTGGTCTCCAGGGGAGGGATGTGATCTCCAGGGGGAGAGACGTGGTCTCCAGGGGAGAGACGTGGTCTCCAGGGGAGGGATGCGATCTCCAGGGGAGAGACGTGGTCTCCAGGGGAGGGACGCGATCTCCAGGGGAGGGACGCGGTCTCCAGGGGAGGGACGCGGTCTCCAGGGGAGGGACGCGGTCTCCAGGGGAGAGACGTGGTCTCTAGGGGAGAGACGTGGCCAGTCTGTACGTTGGGGGCTTGGAAAACGCTCTGCCCCTGTTCCTTCTCCTTCTACCCTCTTGATCCCCAGTAGGCTGAACCCAGCCATAAGCCAGAGGGCAAGCAGGGTGTGGACCCTGGAAAGTAGACATGGAGGTTCAAATGGAAAATATCTAGCATAAGACATTTTTCTCTGACTTCTTGAACTATTTTTTGTTTTACTGTCTCTTTTTCCCAACGAGAGGCATTTCTCAAGGTTGTTTTCAGCTATCTTTCCTTCTGATGTACCCTTCAATAAACTCACAGACATGAAGTCGGATCTTTGGCCAACTTCTGGGTTTTCATTTTCAACTGCCTATTGGATATTCCCATGGAGAATAGATCGCTGGCTCCTTCTATTCCTTTCCTCCTAACAGAGCTCAGTTTCTCTCCAAGGCTCACTGTAATCCTCCTCTGTTCCTTCCTTCACATGTGCTTAGTCTGCGAATCCTGCCGTTCCTGGAGTGCCTCAGGAGTCTCTCTTCACTTCCCTCTTCTGCCTTTGTTTCAGCCCTTGTAATCTTATTACAGTAATCTCCCAACTGATCTTCCTGCCTCTAATCTTTCCTAATCTATTCTGTATACTGGGATGTTGCTTCTTTAATGCCGTCCTGCTGCTTGGAAATAAAATAGACATTTAAAGCTACAATCCTAGGCCTTCTGCTGTTAGCTCCAGTGAAGCTTTTTAGCTTGATACTCTCTGCTTTCCTTCATATACCGTGCTCCACTCAAAGTAAGCTTTATGTGACGTTGTCATTGTCATTATGCTCATATTGGTTTGGTTTTGTTTGGGGACAGGCTGTCACTGTGTTGCCCAGGCTGCTCTCAAACTCTTAGACTCCAGCCATCCTCCCATCTCAGCGACCCGAGTAGCTGGGATCACACATGTGACGTGATTATATTCTTAAATGTTCTAAAAAGTCTTCCTTTTGTTATCATGGAGGCTGGATAGTTCACCTGCAAGTTAGACTCCTGTTGTTTACTTGAGTTCAAATGTTTCTAAACACACTAAATTCCAAATGTCCCACATAACCAACCTAGTGCTCCTAAATGTCCTTGTCCTGTGGTTCTCGAGGACCTTCACTTTTCCCTCCAGAGTTTTACTCCTGCATTACAGGGTGGCTTGTCAGTCCCTGGACTCTGACAGGCCCTAGGTCTTTCCCTGCTCAGTGCACGTTCCTCTGCAAGCTGGCCTTCTATTTGGTGTTGGTCAGGAGGAACAGCTGATGGTCTATACGGAGGCTCCTAGTTTTTAAATTAAAATTCTTAGTTTAGGGCGGCACCCCTGGCTCAAAGGAGTAGGGCACCAGCCCCCTGTGCCGGAGCTAGTGGGTTCAAACCCAGCCCCAGTCAAAAAAAATACAAAACAAATAAATAAATAAATAAAATTCTCAGTTTAAAATAATCTCAATTTACGAAAAATTGAAAGTACAATATAGTTTTTTTTTTTTTCTTCCAGAATCATTTGAGAATACATTGCCGGGTGGTACCTTAGCACTCTGAAATAGTGTAGCATATATTTCCTACAGACAAGGTTGTCTCCCACTAACCACTCTATCTCCATCAAAACCAGAAATTAATTACTTGATTGATTAGAAAGTGGTGCAGTACCATTACCATCATCTAATTCTCACTTCCTATTCAAGTGTCACCAATGGTTCCAGTAACGTGTTTTAGAGAAAAATGACCCAGTTCTCAGTCATGTATTAGTTGCCATATCTCTCCAGACTCCTTTATTCTTGAGCAGTTCCTCCGCCTTCCTTCACATTCATGACCTTGACAATTCTGATGAGTACGTGTGGTTATCTTGTAGAATGCCCTTCACTCTGAGTTTGTGCAGTGGTTCTGCATGACTAAAACTTAGGTTCTGTGTGCATTCCTGGCTGGAATGATGCTATGTGTTTCTCATTGCATCTGCATGACTTGTATGGGTTCCATTCCTCATGATTCTCACTGTGATTATCTGATTAACGTGGTGTCTGCGAGGATTCTCCGCTATAGGTTACTCTATTTTCTTTTGTACTTGATAAGTCTTTCCGGAGAGGTACTTTAAAACTATGTAAAGTCTTCATCAGACTTTCAATACACAGTCACATGTTACATAATGATGGAGATGAATCCTGAGAAAGGCAGCGTCAGGTAATTTTTGTCTTTGTCAAACCTGGATGATCAATTCTGTGACTCACCTGGGCTACACGAGATGGCCTGTTACTCCGAGGCTACAAACTTGTACAGCAGACGTGTTGCTGTGCTGAAGAGCTGCATACTGCAGGCAGTTGTAACACAAGCATACGTATGTGTGTATCTAAACACATCTAGATGTAGAAACGGCACAGTAAAAATAAAAATTAAAAATGGGATAGCTGGGTGGGGCAGTTCCCATGAATGGAGCTTGCTGGACTAGAATTCCTCTGCAGGAGTTAGTGAGGGAGTGGTGGCAGCCTGGGGTATTACTGTGTACTACGGTAGACTCTATAAACACTGCACTGATGGTTACACTACATTTATAAATTTTTTTCTTTCTTCAATAATAAGTTAACCTTACTTTACTATAACTCTTGCTTTACAAACTTTTAAATTTTTGTAAAAATTTTAAAAAATTTTAAAAAATTTTAAAAAATTTTAAAAAATTTTGACTCTTGTGTAGTACCAGCTTAAAAGACAGACATAGCAGTACAGAATATTTTCCTTATATTTTATTCTATAGCATCTTTTCTATTTTTAATTTTTTAATGTT